AAAGGCTCAGATGGGACAGACAAGAGTGACTTACTTAGGAGTGGAAGTGTCCCAGATGGGAAGGGAAATCGATAAGGGATGGGTGCCACTGATCCAGTCCCTGCCACTGTCTAGGGATGTTAAAAGCTTGCAAAGTTTTCTGGGTCTAACTGGATTTTGCAGGGATTTTGTAGCCAATTATGCAGAAATAGCCCGGCCTCTATTCGACCTAACCCGAGCCTCAACTTGGGAGTGGTCAGAAGAGTGTCGTGAGGCAGTGAGAGTGAGAAAGGAAAACCTGGCCAGTGCTCCAGGGCTGGCCTCCCCGGATGGGGAGAAATTCTTTTATCTGTGCCCTTTGGTATCGGACACTACCAGGTTGTGTGTTAACGCAGGCGTATGGAGCAAAGGACCGACCTGTGGCCTTTGCCTCTCAACTTTTGAGTGTTGTGGAACTGAAGTAGGGATGGTGTGAAAAGGTCTTGTGCACCTACTGGGGGGCAGGGAAATTCAAATACCTCCCGGGAATGCAGAAAGTCATAGTCCGATCTCATCCTGACGCCCTGCGGCTGTTAAACATGCACACTGTCTTACAGGGACCAGTGAGTGGGCAGCGTGTTGCCCAATGGTGGCTAGCTCTACAGGCAGAAAACATTACAGCAGAAGTGTGAACGGAACCCGTAGTCTGGGTAGCCGGATTACCTCTGGCCGGCACCCCACACCAATGTGAAGCCAGCCCAGGTAAAACCCAACGTCAGGTGTTCCGGGCGGCTAACCCCAACCAGGTAAAGGAGGGGACACGGGTGTGGTTTTTGGATGGAAGTTGCGGGTATCAAGGGGGACGGAAACCTGCAGGCTTAGCTGTTGTGGGAATCCGAGGCAATGAGACAGCCAGCGCCACTGGTTTCTCGCCGGAAGCGAGGTCAGCTCAGGAGGCAGAACTGGCAGCCTTGCGAACAGCTTTAAATGAAGTGGATCCCAAATTTGAGCCAGAATGTTGGGTGGTGGTAGATTCAGATGACGTATTTTGTGGGTCCACATTGATGCTGAGATGGTGGGCGGATAATCAGTTCAGGGGAACAGACGGCTCCGCAATCAAGCATGCTACCTGGTGGACGCGAGTGGAGGGGCTGAGTCACTGTTTTACACGGATCAGTGTGGCAAAGGTAAAGGCACCCAAGGAAACCGGACCCCAAGCAAAGGGAATAACCTGGCCGACGCAGAGGCCAAGCGGGATACAAGACAGCAGCACCCCCATGGCCCTGGCAGCCAGAAGAGAGTCTGCCTGTAGCCGCGCTAACAAGAAGCGGGGTGGATACAGATCGGGGAGGGCAAATTCGAGAGTTGCAAGAATCTGACCCAGGGCTGGAAGGCATCAGGAAACTTGGGGACAGGCATGTGCCAAGGGTGGAACTAATGGAAGGGATTTGGTGTCATAACCGCTGAGGGACCAGTCATGCTGTGTCCCCAGGGACACCGGGCGGCTTTCTTAAGCTGGGTGCATGGGAGCTTGGCAGGGGGACACCCGGGTTTGAGGAGGCACTGGGAACTTTTGAACGGTTGTACTGGGGGCCAGGAACGGCAGCTGAGTTAAAATCATGCCTGGAACGTTGTTTGGACTGTGCCAGGCACAGCCCACCTCACAAGGTGCGAAGGGGAGAATTAATGAGACAAGCCCCAAGGGGACCGTGGGAAAGGATACAAATTTCCTACACAGGACCCCTACCACCAGATCACAGGGAAAACCGATTCATGTTGGTGGTAGTGGATGCTTTCAGCCGGTGGGTGGAAGCTTTCCCCACAAAGTGTCAAACTGCCCGGGTAACTGCTGCAATACTGGTAAATGAGGGATTCACTCGCTGGGGGGTCCCAAAGGTGACTGACTCAGACCAAGGAGCTGCTTTCCGGTCAGATCTGTTAGGGGAGCTCTCGGCCCTCCCTGGGATCACACAGTTGTTCCATATTGCTTATCACCCCCAGGCTGCGGGGCAGGTGGGATGCATGAACCGCACCATTAAAAGCGAGCTAAGCAAGGGAGTGGCAATGGGAGGAAAAAACTGGTCACGGTTACTGCCCTTTGTCTTAATGAGAATAAGGACCCGAGAATCAAAGGGCACAGGATTTTCTCCATACGAAGCTCTCATGGGAAGGCCCATGGCACGGTGGGAAAATCTACTTACCCCAGTACGTGGGGAAGTCACTACACACGGCCTAACAGAAGAATGGATTTTAACTCTAATCGACCATGTGAAACAGGTACAGCAGGCGGTGGCCTGGCGAGACGAGCCAGGAGCAGCACGAGTCAAAGCATGGTGTGACCTGCCCGGGGAGCATGATCTGCCCACGGTGGGAGATCTAGTGATGTACAAGACTCCAGGTCAACACCATCCATTCCCAGCTCCTCAGTGGAAGGGCCCCTATCTTGTCTTTGACCAGTTAGGGCCCAGTCTGCTATTACTGGGTACAGAGAATGGAGGACGGGAGTGGGTCCACTGCATGCAAATAAAAAGGTACAAACAGGGGATTGGGAAAGGGGATGTGTAAATTTTGTTATGTCTGTATTACAGGTTAATTCAAAAAGGAGACAAGGATGAAAATTCCCTGGCCCTGGATGGAACAATTCCTAGTGCTAATCACAATTGTCACATTTACAAATTCTATTCAGATCCCCCGATGTGAAGTGTCAAAAGGAGGAAACACATGGACGGCCACACATGCAACCTGTGGTAATAAAGCTAATGAAGACTGTGAGAATCTCCCCATAGAAAGATGTACCACTAATACTCCAACAGGAATTTGGCAGTGTCGGTATATGGTTTATGGATTAGATGGGGGAATCCCAACCTGGTGGAGAATATCAAATTTATCAGGAAATATCGCATGGTACTCCCTGGGTGCTGCCATGATTAATGATCGTGGAAAACACAGTTACCCAGCTATGTGGTTTGTTACAGGGGGTCCAAAGACTATAACCCTCTGCTCTCCTGGAGCAAATGAACCCTCTTGGGAAAATAGGGCCCCACATTTAGGGTGTGATGTTACCGTATGCAACGCCAAGGGTACTTCCACGGAAGATAATCCCCGAAGGTGTGATTGTTATGTACATATTACATTGGGCGTAAAATCCCCTTTGGGACGCTGGGTGTCTGATGAGTTAACCATTTTACAGACTGTAACCCTACAGGCGATGTGGATGCCAAGTTGGAAGAATCCAAATTTCAAGTGGCCACAGCTTGGAGCCGAGAATATTCTCCAGCGAGGAAATGTGCGGGAGCCTTTGTGGGAGCGGGTGCAGCCAGCATTGTGTAACATGCCCTTTCACTCTATTCCAGGGGTGGGACGCCCCAAGGCATGGTGGGTGGACCAAATTCATCTTAATTGTAGTATGTACATCAAAGGACTGAAACAACAATTCAATGGGTGGGTGAGGGGACACACCTGGAATCGTCCTCGGAAAAGGGGATTGTGGGCAGCGGGGAACACTACGCTGGGTACATGGAATCTGGGGGACGAGTGGGTAACCGAACAATTAGTGAGCCAACTTGTGAGATTTCACCAACAAATGAATGAATGGATGGCACAGCACAGGGTGGATGACAGCACGGCCGTAGAGGTGAACTTGCAGTTAACTCATGGGGCAGCTGGTGTATTATTACCGGTATTTGTGTTACATTGCATACGGAAATGATCAAGGGGGGCACAACCCCCTAGAGAACAGCCACTAATTATAAGCTATAAGTAATGTAGTAAGCCCTCCCACGCAGTTTACAAGACAACCCGGACCCAACCTTCTCGGGCCCGCTATACTGGGGAAGTCTGGAACACTAATCGGAATAGGTGTGCTATGCCCCTAGGAGAGAAGGTGGAGGGCACGGTACTACACAAGGGACAGGGGGACAGATGGAGGATCGACACCTTCCACCTTGATGCCTGGCCCTATCAGGAAGAGTGTCGCCATATGTCCTATGCTGAAGAGTGAACCTTCCCGGGGGGGCCGTCACGCCGAAGGAGGGTCACTCCCAGGGGCCGTACGGAGCCGAGCGAGAATGAGCCCTGGGTGTCCGTGACAGCTGGGTGCTGCCCAGACCCAGCGAGAGACGGGCCCTGCCCCAGCTGAGATTGGGGCCGTGTTACGCCCGGTCCTGCCCAGAAACCAACCGTGATCGGGGCCTTCCCAGGGGAAAGGCCGAAGTGAAAACTGATTCTTCACTGCACACAAAGAAGTCATAGTTGTTATTGGCCCTTTGTTAAAAAAGTAGCAGGGACAAAAAATGACACATGAAAATCTATTTCAAGGAAGAGCTTGTAAAGTCGGAATTTTACAGTCGGATGCTTTTGGCTTTGGAGTGAACATGTTACCTTGAATAGAGCATCGTTATTAAGAATTTATAATCACATGGCACTGATTGACCTAGACAGAGATCAGGGCCCATTGTGCCAGGGGCTGCCCAGACACACAGTCCCTGCCCCGAGGGGTTTAGAACATAACGAGCCCAGGACACCATTATTATCCCAATTTTCAAAGTGAGGAAACTGAGGCCAGACAGATGCAGCAACTGGCCCAACCTCCACCCACAGCATTTTCAGTGGAGCAGGGACGAGAACCCAGGAAGCCTAAGTACCAGGCCAGCACCTTAGCCACAAGCCTGTCCCTCTACTCTGCCTAGCTGCTGCCCCTAAGCTTGAAAATCCTGTCCACCTGTGAAACGAGTTGGTGAGGGCTCAGGCAGGGTAGAAGAGAGATGCTCTATGGCTGAGAGATGAGCGGCTCTCTTTCCCCCTGGGGCAGTGGGGTTTGGGAGGGGGCAGGCTTTGGGACCCGGCTGCAGAGGACTCTGGGATACCTCCCCACAATGCAGTGCTCCAGCATCTCGAAGACCTAGTTGAGTCCGGGGCAGAGCAGGGATTTGCACCCAAGTTTCCCACATCCCAGGTCCAGCCCTTGGCCGACCGCTTGCCCCTTTCCCCCCTTCCCCCCTCACTGACACCCCTCTCCCCCCCACCGCTGCACTGGACGGGCCGGAGACGCCCAGCCAGGGCCCATGGCGCGAGGGGGCTATTTCAGCCGGACCTCAGAATATTCCGTGGTGGGGCCCTCGGGAGGCTCCCCCCGTTTGCGCTGCAGCTTGGAGAAGTCGATGGAGGCGTAGTGCAGCTCCTCCGGCTCCCCGGGGCCTAGCGGGCCCTGAGCTGCTGCAGACCCGTCCTGGACGCCTTTGGTCCGGCCGGCGGCTGGAGTGTTGTGATCCTGGGTGAGAAGCAAGGCAGAGACACCAGGCAGAGACTTGCATCCACCCTGCTGAGCTGATTGCATGGGCTGCCCCCGGCCTGGTTTCCCCCACCCTCCATGCAAATGCATTTCCTGCATCGGGCGTGCACTAGCCAGAGGCGGGGGGGATTGGGTGTGTTTCACACGCGCTGCATGCGTGAGCCGATCCCATGCCGGCACCAGCTCGGTTAATGCCTCCCCTACCTCACCCACACAGGCCACGCATTGGCAAGACGCACGGGGCGCGGGGGGGCGGGGGGGGAGGGTTGCTGCATTTCATGCACTGCACTTGCAGGATTTCATCCCATGCATCTCATTGCAACACAGGTTCAACGAATGTATTCACTGGATTTATGCAATGGGGATGCATGAACTGCGCCCATGCAGCTTGGGCAGCACGGGGTCCCTTAATCCACTGAGTGCATTCGCAAGACGCACGGGGTTCTGTGCATTTCACACATTGCGCGTGCCTGCACCGATCTCCTGCGTCTTGGGGCAGAGCCGGTTACGTTAATACGTTCCCTGCATTGCCTGCACCGGCCACGCATTTGATCCCAGGCATCTCGTGGTCGCAGAGCCCATGCTGATGCGTTCGTTGCTTTTTCTGAAAGGTGCAACAGACTCAGAACAGCCTGCACGCACCGTCCGATCACAAGCACCTGACACCGCAGCTGCAGAAATGCATTTCCTGCCCGGTTGGTGCATCCAGGAGATTGGCAGCATCCCAGCCCCAATCTAGTCCCATGCACGTTGTGAATTCACGTGAATGCATTCGCCGCATGTCCTCCCCTCTGAGCGAGACCCGAGGGATGAGGTGCCTTCTCTGCATGCAGGAGCCGACCCCATGCCGTTCGGGGGGCCCAGGCTGGTGGCAGGGGTGCATATCCTCCACCGAGCACGCATGGGGGGTTGGGTGCCCTGGTGAAAGCCTGACTTATAGTCCTGCATTCATTAAGGGGGTGGGAAAGCAGTAGGGGAGGGAGGAGAAGAACTGGAGGGGGGCAGAGACGGCGTGGGGTGGGAAGGGCAGGTGGGCTTGGTCCCCCGCTCCCCCCAGGTACATACCACAGGGATGGTGGTGACGTTACTATAGATCAGGTTGGCGTCGTCGGCCGTGTTCTCCGCCAGGCTCCCGTTAGCCGCCTCCCCGGCCTCAGCGCTGGGGGGCACCAGTTCACGCAGCCTGGGGGGAGACAGATCAGGACACACTCATGAGACCGGGGGTGGTGGTAGAATATCCCGTGGGGAGGGAGGGGGTGGCACACCAGTATGAGAGGCTAGAGCGCAGGGGACTGGGAGAGGTCAGGGAGAGGGGGTGGCGGGGATCTCACGGGGGGGCTGGAATACCACAGGGGAAATGGCAGGGGATCTCAGCGGGATCTCGGGGCGGGGGTAGCTGGGGGTCAGGGCGGGAGGCGTCAGACTCACTTGATCACACAGAGCCCGAGAAGGAAGAAGCCGACGGCGACCCCCAGCCCACAGGCCACCCCGATGCCCAGCAGGTTGCCAGGCTCCTCCGCACCTGCAACAACACACAGCACGGGGCACGGCTGGGAGAGAACCCAGGAGTCCTGGCTGCCAACTCCCCTGCCTCCAACTCCCCGACCCCACCCTTCTTCCAGGGCGGGGGACAGAGCCCAGAAGTCCTGGCTCCCTCCCCTCCCTGAGTTGGGGACAGAACCCAGGAGTCCGAGTGTCTCACCTCTCTGCGGGGGGCTGAGTTCAAAGTGCAGGGCGGCGTAGGTCCCGTGGGGGTTGGAGCCGAGGCAGAAGACCCTGGAGCCCCTGTCCCTGCTCCCCGTCCAGCTCAGGGTGCTGAAAACCTCGTCCCCCTGGGCCCACGAGCTGACCTGCAGGGCCCCCCGCGATCCGTTCCCAGCCAGGGGCTCCCCGTCCACCTGCCACTGAAGCCGGGGCGGGGGGTGGGAGCGCAGGGAGCAGCTGCAGCTGACGCCGGGCCCCTGGTGCTGACAGGACGTGTTCAGCCCGGTCCCCGGCCGGGGGCTGTCTGGGGAGCACAGGAGATAAAGGGAGAAATTAATAGAGAGAGAAACCTCGTGTCAGGGAGTCCTGTGGGTTAACCCTCCTAATACCCAGGGGCAGAGAGTACCATAGATTAACCTGCTGATATCCAGTGGCAGGGAGTCCTGTGGGTTCTTTTGCTCTGGGATGTTTCTTCAGCCAGCCCGTGGGCACTGATCCGGCCCCAACCTCAGTGAGCTGCGCTTCACACCAACCCACCTGCTTGTCCGCCCTCAGCCTCGGCGCTCACGGCCCTTGTAGACGGCCCAGGAGTCGGTTCAAGCCTCAGCTGCCCCCCTTGGGGCTGCCCTCGAAGCAGCTAATTAACTATGGCGGGGGAGAGAGGGGGAAGGCGGTTTGCTCTGTCTCCGTTTAAAGGGGCCAGGGACCTGTGACACCTGCTAGAACTCAGTGGCGAGGAGTCCCACGGATTAACACTGCTACTCTCCAGTGTCAGCGTCCCAGGGCTTATCCCCACTCACACTCGACGAGCAGCTGGAACGTCCCCTGGGCAGAGCTCTCCTCGTTCCGGGCCCAGCACCCGTACAGCCCCCCGTCCTCGGCCGTCACGTTGGGCAGTTCCAGCTGCAGCTGATTCTCCCCCGTGGGGCGGGCGCCCTCGACGGCTCGGCCCCCCCTCACCCAGCCCAGCACAGCCGGGGGGTTGCTGGCGACGGAGCAGAGGAACCGCAGGGAGTCGCCCTCCCGGGCTGTGAGTTGTGAGCCGTTCCCCACCGGGGTGCCGGGATCTGGGAACAGGAATAACACAGAGCCACTCGCACCCTGAGCCAGCCAGGCCCTGCCTGGGGGCTGGATCGGGGCCAGCACCCCCTAGAGGGGGAAGGCCGCGTGCCCCTTGCCCTGCCCCCTAGCGATACCTTGGAATAGCTGGGGGTCGCTCCTGTTGGCTCTGGAGACGGTGATTTGCAGAGTCCTCTCTAGAGCTGAAATACCCACGGCAACGTATTAGATTGGAGAGCGCCCCCCACGGACCCTCTGCTCCGCTGCCCAGCGCCCCCCACTGATCACCTGCCCCCCTGCAGCCCCGCGCCCCCCATGGATCCCCCGCCCACCCCCTGCACCACAGCCCCCCCTCCTGACCACCCCCACCCCCTGCAGCCCAGCACCCCCCACTGGGGCCCCTCTGTCTCGCCCAGCACCCCCAAATGCCTTACACTGCACGTGCACACACAGGGCCCGGTTGGCCGACCCAAAGGGATTCTTCGCCCAGCACCGATACTCCCCAGCGTCCCCTCTGCTGAGATTCGGCAGCTCCAGGCGCCCGGCCCCTCCCTGGCCGGGGCTCAGGGACTCGTTCCCCTTGGCCCAGCTCAGGGTGGCCTCGGGTCTGCCCCCAGCCTCACAGCCCAGGCTCAGGGAGTCGCCCTCCTGGGTCTCCAGAGACACGACGTCGCCCTCAGCTCCCCAGGCATCTGGCACTGGAAGAGAGGAGCAGGCGGGTTTGGTCCCCCCAGAGATTCCCCACCAAGGAGCCAAGACGAAGAGGGACTGTTCTTAATGTTTCCTCTGAATAGTGTGGGGGTGCCTCAGTTTCCCCTACGCAGTTCTTAAGTATCTAGGGGGTGGGGTAAGGGTGTATGATCATTGCAGAGCCCTAGAGGGCAGGTGTGTGCAGGGATCTGGACACAGAGAATGGCCGACACCCTGTTTCCTGGCCACTGATGGCCTGGGCCCTTCCCCCCTGTGAGGTGAGAGCTAAAGGGTTGGAGAACAAAGGAATCTGGTGACCTCCTGCCCCGGGAAAAGGACAAAGCCCAGAGGAGGGGGGGCTGGAGGGAGTTTCAGTTTGGGGCTGGCTGGGACATGGAGTGAAGGGCAGACGTGGTTGTCTGGCTCACTGCCCCCCAAAATGGACCCAGCTGAGGGGTCCTGTTCCCTGCACCTACAAGCTCTGTGTTAGACCATGTTCCTGTCATCTAATAAACCTTCTGTGTTACTGGCTGGCTGAGAGTCACGTCTGACTGCGGAGTTGGGGGGCAGGACCCTCTGGCTTCCCCAGGAGCCCCGCCTGAGCGGACTCGCTGTGGGAAGGGCACGGAGGGGCAGAGGAGGCTGAATGCTCCGAGGTCAGACCCAGGAAGGTGGAGCCGGGGGAGCTGTGTGTCCTGCAGACAGGCTGCTCCCCGAGAGGAGACTGCCCCAGAGTCCTGCCTGGCTTCACGGGGAGCAGGTCCAGAGCATCGCCCGGGGACCCCGTGACACCCACCAAGGAGCCAAGACGCAGAGTCACCACTGGGGTGGGGTGGGGGGGCTGGTTATACAGGGACCCCTCGCCTGGCGCTGAGACCTGGCCCCTCTGGGGTGGGCGCACAATCTCGGTGCCTTGCCATGGCAGCAGGTCTCCGTCGCAGCGATCGGTCCCTAACCCATCTCCTGCCCGCTGCCCAGCGCCCCCTTAACGCCACCCTGGGCTCTAGAGAGAGGGAACCAGGCCTGCTCCCCCGACCATTGCCCCCCACAGCCCCGCGGTTCCTCGGGCTCTCCCCTCCGGGCACGGAGCAGCCTGGCCCGGCTGAGCGTGACTCGGAGGCGCTCGCTGATCCCCGGGGCTCGCAGTGCGGCCTCTCACCGGGGCGTCCGTTCCTGGTCAGGGTCCCGGTGACATTGGGGGGGCCGGACGGGTCTGTAACACAAACCAGAGAGGGGGGATCAGGGGGGCTGGACAGCACCGGGGGGGGCGGGGTCTCTAGTGATCCCTGAGCCTAGACAGGGACCCTCGCTGTGAGCTCAGCTGGGGGACGGGAAGTTCCCTGAAGTGACACAAGCCCCGTGGGCAGGGAAGGGAAGCGACAGACCCGACTGGGCGCGACCCAAGAGGCGCCGGACGTAACCCAGGGGCCGGGTTAGGGCCAGGGGGAGCCAGAACCAAGGGACCAAAACTGGTGGGTCGGAATTCAGCTTAATTGGCGGAGGCACTAACGAGGGGCCGGGCTGCTCCGGCCTGGGGACTAGAGCGAGCGTCACCATCTCGCTGCCACCGTCCGCCGGGCGCCCGGGTGTTCAGCGTCCTGCTCCCCAAACGTGTCCTCCCGAGGGCGGGACAGAGCCGGGGGTCTAAATAACCCCGCTCCCAGCCCAGCCACCACCAGGGTCGTCAGATACCCCCCTTGTGGTCCTTTGCCTTCCCCCTTCGGTTCGTCTCTCCCGAGCCCTCTCCTTTGGCCCCTGGGCCTGGCCGGCCAGGCCTGGGTATTTTGCAGCCTGGCTGCACCCAGAGGGGCGGCTGAAAGCAGCACCCGGAGGAGCCGGACGCTGGTGCCCTCTGGCCAGGCCTGGCAGGGTCCGTCCACGCTGCCCTCAAAGGCGCGCGGCGCCGAGGCCCAGAGCCTGGGTCCGTTGGGTTGGGCTCGCGGGATCGGGCCATTTAATGGGGGTTTGCCCTGGGGCAGGGCGGGTCGAGGACTCTGGGCACCGACTGCGGAGCGTGTTTAGTGCCAGACAGCGACTGGGTCCCGTTAACACTCTGCCCCATAGAGAGCATCCTCCGATCCCGGCAGAAAGGGGACGGGGTGGAGGAGACGTGGTGGGACAGCCCGGGTGGATCTCGGGGGGAACTGGGGTGTCTGGTGTGAGGGGGGGAATCCCAGCAAGGGGGGACTGGAATAGTGGGTGGATCCCAGCATAGAAGGATTCTGGGGGCAGGGCAGGTCGCGGGTAGAGAGGATCCCAGAGGAGAAGGGCCTGAGGACGGGGCATGTGGATGGGAGGAGGAAGCCATAGCCAACGTGGCAGGAAGGCGTGAAAATCCCAAGAGAGAAGGGGCTGCAAGGTGTGGAGGGGAAGGGGTCTGGAGTAGAATTGGCTGAGGGTGCATGGTGGGGGGTGGGGATCCCAGCACAGGGCTGAGATGGGGCAGGGGCTGGAGGGCAGGGCTGGGAAGCCCAGGAGGGTGGGGATCCCAGCAGGGGGGGCTGGGGCCCGGCATGGAGGGGCTGGGGGGGTCACTCACAGCCGATGTGTAGCCGGATGGTTCTGCGGGTGGAAGGTCCCCATGGTGGGCGGTAGGTAATTCTGCAGACGAGCTCTTTGCCGTGGTCCCCCGGGGCGGGTGTGAAGCGCAGCGTGGAGCTGCGGGCCCAGGTGCCGTTCGCCAGCAGGGCTGAGTCGTCCCGGGCTGTGTTGCTGAACGGCCCCGTCCAGGTGACTCGGGGAGGGGGCCCGGAGCAGCGCCCGGGGGCCGTGCAGGTCACAGTCACCGGCTCCCCGGCCAGCAGCATCCCTGGCAGCCCCCGCGCCGGCGAGATCTGGATCTCTGGCTCCTCCGTCAGCCCTGAGACACGGGGAGAGGGGAGAGAATCACTCGGGGACACGGGGCCTTTCCCCCCTGGGGGCGCCGGCCCCGATCCGGCTCGAAGGCAGGGACTGGCTCAGGGGGGCTGAGGAGCGGTGACTGCGGCTGCTCTTACCTGGCACGGAGAGTATAAGATCAGTGCCATCGGAATTGAAGAGATAATTGTATTTCAGTTTTCCTTTCTCGACCCTAAGGAAATATCTCCCTGCATCCGTCCCTTGGGCGTCATTGATTTGCAGGGAGCAGTCGCCACGTGTCAGATCCCCCGCCAGCCGGAACCGGCCCTGGGTCTCCTGCGACACCCACCGGCTGGGGTCACTGCTGGCCACGGGCGGATCCTGGCCCGCAGTTGCGGGCTCCTTGTACCAGTGTCCGTAGAGCCGGGCCCAGGGATTGTCGGTGTCGTACCAGGCTGGGTACGCGAAGGTGCAGGGGACGAGAACGCAGAGACCCTCCTGCACCGACACCGACTGCCGCACCGTCAGGGTAAATCCGGGCTGCTGGCACAGGGACCCTGCAGGGGACGGAGAGGGATCGAAGTGGGACTGTCGGGGGGGTCGACACCCGCTCCTGCCCTGAGGGGCTGAGAACAGCCCAGGAGAGCCTGTGGGTGGGGCAAGCAGCCCAGGCTGAGTGGGGCAGTAGGCCCCAATTCGGGCTCCGCTGGCCTTAGAAGCAGGCGGTGAGGAAGGAGCAGACTCTCTCTCGCTCGCTCGCCTTTGGCGAGGGAGGGACCTGGCTGCAGGGAGCAGAGCGTACCTAGCATGGAGCAGGGCTGGGGAGCGGCCAAGGGGGCTGGGGAGCTCCAGCCGGGAAAATCCCAGGCTGCGGGTGTAGCAGGAGGCCAGGCAGGTACTAGGGTTGCACAGGGGCAGCCCATGGGGAGGCCAGGGCAGCCGATCCAAGCCCCTCCTTGCCAGTGATGAGTGGCTTTTACACCGCAGTCTGACCCCTCTACAAGGGGCTCGTTGGTGACTGGCAGTAGCCTTACACTGCGGCAAGGTGGGGATAGTGGGTGGGGGGGTTCCCCTGGAGGGGGGGGACCCTGAGAGACAGCGGGTGTACTGCCAGGGAGCAGCCATCCAGGAGACCAAGGGGCAATGGGTCCGGGAGGGATGCGGGGCCAGCAGTAAGGCGGATCATCGGCCTGCAGAGGGCGTCCTGGAGCCTGGTGATCTAATTCCCGACGAAGACCAGCAGGAGGCACCGCAGGGGTGAGTCTGCTCGCGTCCAGGCACCCACAGAGAGCAGAGGCCAACTCTGAGCTCCCCCCCAGCTCTGCCGGTGCTCCTCACTCCCGACCTGCAGCCCCCTGCGAGCCCAGCCCTGGATCCTCGACAAAATCTACTTCCATTTAGTTTCCAGCCTTCCCTACATGGAGCCTCCTGCCCTCTCCCGAGCACCACACTGGGCCATTGGGCTCCCCTCCCCATCTGGCCAGTCTCCCTTCCAAGACCTGGGACAGACCTGGCTTCGCTTAGCGCGGGTTCGGCTCTTCCCCCTGCACTGGGGCTGCAGGGGCTGCTTACTTACCCCTCCAGAGCAGGGCGAGGATCAGGACCCTCAGCGTGGCTGCAGGGGGGGCAGGACCCCCTTCTCTCCAGGGGGGGCTCTGAGCCGGGAGCTCCTGTTCCCTGGCATCCTGCTGTGGAAGCAGGGCTCTGCCCATGGCTGGGGCGTCCGGCTGGGACAGACCTAGAGACAGACGGCGGGGAAAAGCGTGAGAGCGGAGGCTGTTTTGGGGGATACAGATCTGCCTTGGGGACCATCAGTGCTGCTGGGCTCTGCAGGGGGCTGATCTGGGGCTGCTGGCAGTGCAGTGACCCACCCCCCGCCCCCACCACCAGACGGTCCTGAGACATCGTGGGCTAAAAAAATCCTTAATTTGGTGACAAAACCTGAGATTTTTTTTCACTAAGAATCATGAGATCGGCCAGAAAATCCCGAGCTGGTGAGAGAAGATGGTGGGAAGGCAGCGCTGCTCAGAGCCTGCTCTGCTTCCATCTTCCCACAAACACCAACACGTCAGCAGGCGGCCAGCGAAGTTACCACGGACGGCAGAGGGGAAGGGCGTCAGACCGGGAGAAGGAAAGAACCCGTCAGAGATGTTCTGACCAATTTGAATGAATTCAAATCAGTGGGGCCGGACGCTGTTCAACCTAGGGTGCTGAAGGCATTAGTTGAAGAAATCTTGGAGTCACTGGCAATAATATTTGCAAACTCATGGATGCCAGGAGAGGTCCAAGAAGACGAGAGAAGGGCTAACGGGGTGGCCATCTTTAAAAGGGGGAAAAGGAGGAGCCGGGGAATTATAGACCAGTCAGCCTGAACTCGACACCTGGAAAGCTGCTAGAGCAATGTATAAAACCTTCAATTTGTGAGGATGAAGGGGTGTTCACCAGCATGGATTTATCAAGTTCAAATCCTGCCAAACCAGCTTGATTTCCTTCTTTGACGAGGTAACTGGTTGGTGGCAGGGGGAAAGTGGTGGACATAATATCCCTGGACTTCATCAAGGCTTTTGACACAGTCCCACAGGACATTCTCATAAGTAAGCTGGAGAAGACTTCTGAAGGAACTCAAATGTGAAACTGCAGAACTATGCAGCGAACAGCAGAGAGGCTAACAGAGGGAGTTTGCCTGGGATCTGCCTGAGAGGAGGTACGCTAAGGGCTGCATTAAGGAGGCTGTGTTGGTGAGTATCTGAGTGTCTGTTGTGGGGACAGTTTGACAGTTTGACCGTGTGCTTGATTGGTGGTTTGAAAAGTGTGAATTGGGAGTGCTTTGTTCCAGGTGAGCCTTGAGGGGGCCTGACTGTTATAAAAAGCCAGTCAGCTGCGAACCAGCTGAGTGGCGAACAGCAGAGAGGCTAACAGAGGGAGTTTGCCTGGGGAGAGCCCACTGAGGCTTACATCTTGCCGGCTTCTCTGAGTAATTACTACAACTCCTGAGGAAGCTCGTAGAAGCAAGGTAATATGGATGGGGAGCGTTCAGCTGTTGTGACCTGCACTGGATGTGCCATGTTTGTCTTCCTTCCACAGGACAGAAGCGACTTTGTCTGTACAAAGTGCAAGCTGGTCTCCATATTGGAAGAGAAGGTTCAAGATCTGGAGCAACAGGTATCGACCCTGCGTTGCATAAGAGAAACTGAAGATTTCCTGGACAGACATCAGGATATGCTTCTATGGGCACAATGTTCTGAAGATTCAGAGCAGGCTGCACTGCGGGGACAGGAGGACGGTGAAGAAATTTGCAGCATGTGACCTCCAGAAAAAGAAAGGGGAGTGTCCATGTACCAGCAACACAGATACAGGTAAGTAACCGTTTTCATGTTCTCTCCACAGGTACCATTGCGGGGAGTGGCCCAGATGATACGTCTGGGGGAAGGGAGCAGAAGGAGACTCCGCCAGTTGAAAGCCATGAGATGCACTGTCCTAGGGATGGGGGTTCCACGACCACCGCTCCCAAGAGAAGGAGGCGGGTGGTGGTGGTCGGGGACTCTCTCCTCCGGGGGACTGAGTCATCTATCTGCCGCCCTGACCGGGAAAACCGAGAAGTCTGCTGCTTGCCAGGAGCTAGGATTCACGATGTGATGGAGACACTGCCGAGACTCATCAAGCCCTCAGATCGCTACCCCTTCCTGCTTCTCCACGTGGGCACCAATGATACTGCCAAGAATGACCCTCAGCGGATCACTGCGGACTACATGGCTCTGGGAAGAAGGATAAAAGAGTTTGAGGTGCCAAGTGGTGTTCTCGTCCATCCTCCCCGTGGAAGGAAAAGGCCGGGGCAGGGACTGTCGAATCGTGGAAGTCAACGAATGGCTACGCAGGTGGTGTCGGAGAGAAGGCTTTGGATTCTTTTACCATGGGATGGTGTTCTAAGAAGGAGGAGTGCTAGGCAGAGATGGGCTCCACCTAACGAAGAAAGGGAAGAGCATCTTCGCGAGCAGGCTGGCTAACCTAGTGAGGAGGGCTTTAAACTAGGTTCACCAGGGGAAGGAGACCAAGGCCCTGAGGTAAGTGGGGACATGGGATACCGGGAGGAAGCACGAGCAGGAGCGCGCGAGAGGGCAGGGCTCCTGCCTCATACTGAGAAAGAGGGACGATCAGCGAGTTATCTCAAGTGTCTATACACAAATGCAAGAAGCCTGGGAAACAAGCAGGGAGAACTGGAAGTCCTGGCACAGTCAAGGAATTATGATGTGATTGAAATAACAGAGACTTGGTGGGATAACTCACATGACTGCAGTACTGTCATGGATGGATATAAACTGTTCAGGAAGGACAGGCAGGGCAGAAAAGGTGGGGGAGTTGCACTATATGTAAGGGAGCAGTGTTGGATCATATTAAAGAAGTTCTGTATAGAGCTGGCTGTATTTTAAAGAATCCTTATTGAGGTTACAGGGACAAACCATCCTGATGTGCAGAAAGAATAGTAAATATGGCAGGCGACCAGCTTGGCTTAACAGTGAAATCCTTGCTGATCTTAAACACAAAAAAGAAGCTTACAAGAAGTGGAAGATTGGACAAATGACCAGGGAAGAGTATAAAATATTGCTCGGGCATGCAGGAGTGAAATCAGGCAGGCCAAATCACACCTGGAGTTGCAGCTAGCAAGAGATGTTAAGAGTAACAAGAAGGGTTTATTCAGGTATGTTAGCAACAAGAAGAAAGTCAAGGAAAGTGTGGGCCTCTTACAGAATGAGGGAGGCAACCTAGTGACAGAGGATGTGGAAAAAGCTAATGTACTCAATGCTTTTTTTGCCTCTGTCTTCACGAACAAGGTCAGCTCCCAGACTGCTGCACTGGGCAGCACAGCATGGGGAGGAGGTGACCAGCCCTCGGTGGAGAAAGAAGTGGTTCGGCTCTATTTAGAAAAGCTGGACGTGCACAAGTCCATGGGGCTGGATACTTGCATCCGAGAGTGCTAAAGGAGTTGGCGGCTGTGATTGCAGAGCCATTGGCCATTATCTTTGAAAACTCATGGTGATTGGTGGAAGTCCCGGATGACTGGAAAAAGGCTAATGTAGTGCCCATCTTTAAAAAAGGGAAGAAGGAGAACCCTGGGAACTACAGGACAGTCAACCTTGCCTCAATCCCTGGAAAAATCATGGAGCAGGTCCTCAAGGAATCAATTCTGAAGCACTTAGAGGAGAGGAAAGTGATCAGGAACAGTCAGCATGGATTCACCAAGGGCAAATCATGCCTGACTAATCTAATTGCCTTCTATGACGAGATAACTGACTCTGTGGATGAGGGGAAAGCAGTGGACATGTTGTTTCTTGACTTTAGCAAAGCTTTTGACACGGTCTCCCACAGTATTCTTGTCAGCAAGTTAAAGAAGTATGGGCTGGATGAATGGACTATAAGGTGGATAGAAAGTTGGCAAGATTGTCGGGCTCAACGGGTAGTGATCAATGGCTCCATGTCTAGTTGGCAGCTGGTATCAAGTGGAGTGCCCCAAGGGTCGGTTCTGGGGCTGGTTTTGTTCAATATCTTCATAAATGATCTGGAGGATGGCGTGGATTGCACCCTCAGCAAGTTTGCAGATGACACTAAACTGGGAGGAGAGGTAAATTCACTGGAGGGTAGGGATAGGATACAGAGGGCCCTAGACAAATTAGAGGATTGGACCAAAAGAAATCTGATGAGGTTCAACAAGGAGAAGTGCAGAGTCCTGCACTTAGGACAGAAGAATCCCATGCACCGCTACAGACTAGGGACCGAATGGCTCGGCAGCAGTTCTGCAGAAAGGGACCTAGGGGTTACAGTGGATGAGAAGCTGGATATGAGTCAGCAGTGTGCCCTTGTTGCCAAGAAGGCCAATGGCATTTTGGGCTATATAAGTAGGGGCATTGTCAGCAGATCGAGGGACAGGATTGTACCCCTCTATTCGACATTGGTGAGGCCTCATCTGGAGTACTGTGTCCAGTTATGGGCCCCACACTACAAGAAGGATGTGGAAAAATTGGAAAGAGTCCAGCGGAGGGCAACAAAAATGATTAGGGGTCTGGAACACATGACTTATGAGAAGAGGCTGAGGGAACTGGGATTGTTTAGTCTGCAGAAGAGAGGAATGAGGGGGGATTTGATAGCTGCTTTCAACTACCTGAAAGGGGGTTCCAAAGAGGATGGCTCTAGACTGTTCTCAGTGGTAGCTGATGACAGAACGAGGAGTAATGGTCTCAAGTTGCAGAGCGGGAGGTTTAGGTTGGATATTAGGAAAAACTTTTTTCACTAGGAGGGTGGTGAGGCACTGGAATGCGTTCGCTAGGGAAGTGGTGGAATCTCCTTCCTTAGATATTTTTAAGCTCAGGCTTGACAAAGCCCTGGCTGGGATGATTTAGTTGGGGATTGGTCCTGCTTTGAGCAGGGGGTTGGACTAGATGACCTCCTGAGGTCCCTTCCAACCCTGATATTCTATGATTCCATGAACTACTAACTGTGTTATGTAACCTATCATTTAAATCCCCCTCTGTACCAGATGACTGGAGGATAGTTTATGTGACACCAACTTTTTAAAAAGGCTCTAGAGGTGATCCCACCAATTAGAGGCCACTAAGCGTAACTTCAGTACTAGGCAAACTGGAGAGAGGTAAATAGCAGTGTTCCACAAGGGTCTGTACTGGGACCAATGCTGTTCAACATATTCATAAATGATCTGGAGAAAGGGGTGAACAGTGAGGTGGCAAA